AAGCAGTCTTTGTCATATTGCAGACAACGAGAGCATTTGAGATGAGACAGTCACAATCCAACATATTAAGGCAATTTTATAATTAGACAGTTTTTGGTTGTCCTTGGGGTACCCCTTCCATTGTTCTTGCAGCTGTGTGTGTGCACGGCACTGTGTGTGTATTCACGTGTGTTCAAGATAAGTCGGATAACACAAGCTACACAACTACAGTAGCGTTTTTTTTTTTTTTTTTTTTTTTTAAATCCGGACATCCGGACCTGTTCTTCCATAACCGGACCGTCTGGGTCCGTATGTCCGGTTGTCCGGATCGATGTCCGGTTTACCGGACGTCCGGATTAATCCAGACACGGGTCCGGGCCTGGTGTCCGGTGTCTGGATGTCCGGGTCCGGGGCAACCATGTCAAAAACCTAAAAGCAATTAAGATTTTGCGAGGATATGGGTCCCCGGCAGACCTAAGGGTCCCCCTGCAGCAAATGTGCCCACCCTAAGTGAAGTCGGGCCTAACAAATCACGAGAGGCCCTTGGCTGTCAATTTCACATTTAGGGTCCAGGCAGTTTCGTCGTGCCAGTTGGTTGAAGGGAAACACAGGCCGAGCAGCGTGAAAATTCCCAGGCCTTCTAGGCCTTTCCGAAAGCACAGGCCCTGGGTGAGATTCACAGCCTCATACACAGACAGTTGGGAGGCCCAACCGAATGAGGCCCAGTAGCTGCACCAGAGGCGCAACATCCTGGGGCCTACCGGAAGCTTCTGGGCCCAGGCCAGTCCAGCCAGGCTGCCGAATGAGGCAGGCTCTTTCCATATAGGAAAGAGCTCGCTGCCTGGCCAGCCATTCCGGCACTCGCATGCTGGCGGCAGCGCTGCTGGAGCTGAAGCTCGTGGGCTGCTGCTAGCGCTCAGCGGCGAGGTGCAGGCACATGCGGTCGTGCAGGGAGCAGGGTGCTGCTGAGGGCAGCGCCATAGCCCAGCCTCCATAGCTGGCAGGGCTTGGATGTACAGTGAGGCGCAGGGGTGGTCTTCGGGTGTACAACAAAGGAGGATGTGGGAGAAAGTCAAGGGAGAGAGAGAAGGATGATGATGACGATGATGTGAGGGCACATACGTGGTATTGGCGATGGTTCTGCATGGGCGACATCTTCAAGTACTTCAGGTGYTGCTGACGTCAACAGTTGCATTGTCAATTAGTAGGCTAGTAGTAGCTGTGTAGGGAGTAGGCTGGGCGCCGAGCGCCAAGTAGGGAGATAGAGACTGGATACAAATGTTGGTGGTGGCGAGAGCAAGCTCTCATTGACATTGATTTTCAGTGCTACGATTCTCCATTGGTGTTATATTGGTGCAATGCTGCTTTATGAACACTGTGTTACGATTTGGCTTTCAATGTGATTGTGCAATCTGAATATTGTCATCTCGCTTCTGTTCATTTTCCGTGCAATTTTTGTTTTTTAATCATTAAAAAAAGAGTGTTCGACCGAACACGTTCGGGAGGCGTTCAGCCAAACACCCGAACATGTTCGGGCGTTCGGAAAAGTTACGAACATGTTCAGTGTGCTACACAGCCCTGTTTTGGTTCCCTTGAAACCCCTCCTTGCCCCACTTATACCCCACTCGACCCCACAAACGGATAACATAGAGAAACAGAAAAGAGCCCGGATTTGGCCTGCTTCCACTGGGTGCAGAGAAGCCCCACCGACCAAGAATAAAAAAAAGACATCCCAGGTTTTTAGCTATGCTGGGCCGTAGGGCCAGTTGGGCAGAGGTGGGGTCGGCCGGCAAAACCAGACGGGTCAAAAAAGAGACAAGGATCCTCGAAAAAAAAAAAGAGCACTTCGGTCCAGGACTGCGCTTGGCCTAAACAGTCAGAATCAGGTCTTAACTTCGATGTTGGTGATGGGTCATCCAGGGGGGGKGGGGGGGTATAAACAGTGACTAAAGGGGTTTAAAAGGGTACATCTCGACTAATGTTTTCTCATTTATTTTCTACACTCTTACTAAAGAGTAAGCCGGGTCTCACGTGACGCCCCTGCGAGGCCCGACTTACAATGTTGGGAAAGCGCTCGGGACATGGGGGTGCAGGCCCAGCAGAAACTGGCAGTCGCGCCACGGCCTTTTTGTTTTCGCACCTCTACTCGTGTGTCTCCACCGTTTTTTTTTTTCCCCCTTCTCGTGTGCGGGGTTTGGCACGGCGACGCGCCTGGGAAGGACTGCCTTGCAACGCGACAGGGAGGCTGATGCATGCTCATCTGAAGATGAGTGGTGCACATGTCCAGGGATCGCCAGTGTGATGAACAGGACTCAAAACAAAACGATATAATGCAATGTCGTGCAGCGGAAGACTCAAAGATATGACCTGACACATCATATCCAGACTCGACTCACACTATCATCATCACACACGTCACAGAGCAAGGAGGGACATCATACACGGAAGAAAGGTCCCTCCTTCCCCACACACATGGGGAAGAAACCACCGATGATGGAGGAGGAGGAGAGAGACGAAGGTGGAGAGTGGAGAGAGGACAAGAGTAGAACTCGTAGCCGTCCACAAAAATAATCTCCCCGTCAAATGTCCAGCCAATGTCTGTCCTCAAAAATGTCGAATCAGACCCTGGGTGCTCATAGGCCCGAAATAGTCACTTGCAATGACTTGCTGGTTCCAGGTTGCCTGTAGCCTATCTCTGACGAGGCTGTACTCTAGATAGGGCCAGATTCGTAATTCTGTTTGGCTGAGGACTAACCGAGAGACCTGCCTGTATGGAAAATTTGTGAGGGACATATCTGTAAATATAGAAATATGGGCCCAGTACTAACTCGATTTTCCTACAGCTACCCTAACTGCGAATAGCGGACCCCGGCTACCCCTAGGATAGACAGGCCCTATGGGCCTACGCTGAGAGAC